GATCGGCCGATCGGGCCGATCGCCCCGACTCGATCGCTTCAAAAACAAACGTGTTTGTTTTCAGTTTCAGGCGATCGAGTCGGGCGATCGGCCCGATCCAGCCGTAGTGGGCAGCCGTATAACAAACACAAAAACGACGGAGAGGAGATAAAGACGATAGATGTTTGATAGGAAAGAAGAAGCAAACCACACCAGAGCACCCACCAACCACCCACGGCTCTAATTTTCTGTTCTTTGTATGACAAACACATCGACACAAATATGGTCATCTAGTGCTGGGAAACAGTAAGACAGACAGACAGAAACAACAGAGAACAAGTAAAGAAGTTAATTATGTTACTTGTTACTTGTGTGAAGGACCGACATCACTGCACAAGGAAGGTGGCCTCGGTGGCCTAGTGGTTAGGCTACCGGACTCATAATCGTGAGATTGCGGGTTTGGGGATTCGAGCCTCAGCTCGGGCCGACGTTGTCACCTTGGGAAAGACACTTTACATGAACTTCCCACTTGGCTCAGTCTTTTCGGAGACAGACGTTAAACTAGGAAGTCCCGCCCCTTAAATAACCTAATAGTGTTGATAGGGGTGTTACTTTTATTTACTTTACTTTTCCGATCCAGCGGTCATTTGGGTTCTAGCCCTTCGGTCTGTCGATATGGCAAAGAATGATAGGGGCGTTAAACCCAGACCATTTCACCATTTTTTTCACTGCACAAGAGGCATCCCCAAAAGAAGCACATCTCGGAATGTGTAGATGTTGACGGTTCCAAGCAATGGTTGATTCCATAGCAAGTAAAGAAGTATGGCCTACCAGAGGCGCCCTCCAACCACCCGCTTATTACTGCCGTCTTATGACAAAACAACCTATATACGTAATAAGGTCAAGAAGAGGTTTTATACAGGGGAGAAAAACCCTTTCATGGGGCGTTTTTCTATCTTGGTTTTATGGCAGTACAATTCAAATAAGGACGTTTTGGGCTTTGAAAATAAATATACGTTGTGACCTAATTAGATATCTATATTGTTATGAAAAAAAGATATTGTAATCAATTACTCCATAACTATTTACTGTATACTCAGACAAAAGTTATACAGGCCAATGAATATTGACATAATAATCAGATCGACCAAATGTGTTGAGTTGAAACACACACACAAAGTTTTTTTGTTT